CAATACAGTGTGACCTCATCTCTAAAAATAAAAAAATAATAATAATAATCTACAAACCAAAACTTGGGTTCCCCACAATCCAGAATCCTATATGCTAGGCTCATAACCGAATCCAGCCCAGAGCACTTGTTCCTATGCCAATCCTCCTCATTCCGGGAAACAGAACCCAGGGATGATTCTTGGTAATGCCGTCTTCCTCATTCCCCATCTCCTTCCAGTGTTACTGGTTCTTCTTCCAGAAGATTTCTGAAATCCAGCTCCACTTCCTCCACCCCCATCCAAGCCACTTCTCTCCTGGATTACTACAATCGCATGCCAACTGATTGACACAGGCAGAGACCTTCCTCCTTCTAAATGTGATCTTTTTTTGTAAATGTAAATTGGACACTCTGCACTACTGCTTTCAAAGCTTGAAGGGCTTGGCCGTGCGCAGTGGCTCACGCCTGTAATCCCAGCACTTTGGGAGGCCGAGGCAAGGGGATCACGAGGTCAAGAGATCGAGACCATCCTGGCTAACACGGTGAAACCCCGTCTCTACTAAAAATACAAAAAAAAAAAATTAGCCGGTCGAGGTGGTGGGCGCCTGTAGTCCCAGCTACTCAGGAGGCTGAGGCAGGAGAATGGTGTGAACCCAGGAGGCGGAGCTTGCAGCGAGCGGAGATCACACCACTGCACTCCAGCCTGGGTGACAGAGAGAGACTCTGTCTCAAAAAAAAAAAAAAAAAAAAAAAAAAACCTTGAGGGGCTTCCAATTGTTTCAGAAGATCACCCTTAGCCCCATGGCAAAGCCCTTCTGAGTCTCTCACCACAGCTTCCCACTGCACTCCTTGCTCTTCCTTAAAAGCACCAGGCCATTTCCTGCCATTTCCTGCCTCGACTTGGCTCCTGCGGTTTGCTCTGCCCGACTGCTCTTTGCCCACCAGCCTTTTCTTGTTTTTCAGTCCAGCTTAAAATCATTTCCTCGGGGAGGCCTTCCCCACCCAATCTAAAGCCACTCCCTCGCCCCACAGTAACCTCTCATAGTCCACTCCTTTGCTGCGCAGCACTGATTACCAAGAGTCACCAGACACCGATCTGACTGTGCCCGCAGCTGTCTCCCCCTCTCTGCTGTCACTGTGCTTTGTCACCTTGCTGTCCCCAGGGTCTAGCATGGCACCAACCCATAAAAGAGCACAGTAGTTATTTGTGAATAAACGAATCAAGAGTAAGCAGGCTGGTCTAATCTGCTGTTCTTCAACCTTAAATTCCCAGAGAAAAGTGATTACATTTCACTTTATATCATGAGATGAGGACGGAGATCCAAATTCGAAACCCCGAATTTAGCACCATTCCATTTACTAGTCTCAGCTTTATGGGGAATACAAAAGACAAGCTCCCAAAGAACTTGCGATCTCCCCAGAACACCTAAACGCTTGGAGTATCATTTAAAGATAGAATATGTGTAAGTGTCAAAATGACAGAACACACCAAAAGTAACCTCAAGTTTTTACTTTTCTTCCTTGGGTGTAAGAGCCCAAGGAAGAAAAATAAACAAACCCTGGGTAGAAATGCCTGGAAGAGAATTAGCACATGCAGGCAGATACAGTAGGTCTAAAAATGTGATTTAGAAAAGGGTGCCTGGAGGTATACCAATCAGACGGCAATATATATGAGGAGGACAAACTGTGCACAGACCACCCCAAACAGAGCAGCACCTAAATCCTTTGCAGGGTAGCTTCAGTCTTTAAAAAGATAACATATTTCTGTAAATAGTCTCCAGTTAGACACTGTATTTGCCAATGTTCAGAAAACACAGTTGTCTCATTTCTGGTTTATGAACACTATGGGAATGCAAAAGAGAGATATTCATCTCTTCATTCCAGTCAGTGTGAACTAATTTTGTTTAAGCACACCTTTTTAAAGGGCTTTTATTTTCACAGCTCCTTAACTTTGTGTTGCATCTTTTCTCCAGGCATAGTTGACTGTGGAACATTGCTTTGGGGAGCCTAGGTGTCAGCAATATGTAGTTCTATTTTAAGCTCAGGGAGGAGCACATGTAATGTAAGTAGGAACAGGGAAAAGAAAAATAAATGAAAAGTCTGCTGCAATATATTTAGGTGCACTTGGAAGTGTGTTTTAAATTAACCTGCAATTAGGCTACAGAATCCCATTCTGAAGAAATTTACCTGAAGGAGAAAAGAGGCAAAAGATGGGTACCAGTACTTACACATGCAGATAGACAGGCGGACAGATGGACAGACAGACGGATGGACAGATAGACAGATGGACAGACAGACAGATGGACAGATGAATAGACAGATGGATAGACAGATGGACAGCTAGAGAGATGGAAATACACACAGATGGACAGAAGGACAGAGACAGATAGACAGGCAGATGGACAGATAGACAAATGGACAGATGGACAGACAGATGGATGGATGGACAGATGGATAAACAGACAGCTAGATAGATGGATAGACAGACAGACAGATGGATAGCCAGACAGATGGACAGACTGAGGTTTTGCCATGACTGTTTATTTACAAGCTTTCTTTGTTAAGAAATTACAACCAAAGTATAATAAAACAGAAACAAACAATTGTTGAGGTGACATGAAAGATCAGGTGATGTGGGTACTTGATGGTTTATACAGGAATTAATTACTTTGAAACCATAATTACCCATGTTTAAGCAAAGCACTTGTTTTTTCATAACGTAGACCACCAGGATCTGAGGAATTAAACTGTTCAAAGTCCCTGTCACACACAGGAAGGGATTTATACTGGATAAATATCTTTTAAGTTATTACTACAAGCCATGCGTGGTGGCTCACACCTGTAATCCTGGCACTTTGGGAGGCTGATGGGGGAAGATTGCTTGAGCTCAGGAGTTTGAGACCAGCCTAGGCAACGTGGCGAGACCTTGACTCTACTAAAAATCCCAAAATTTAGCTGGGTGTGGTGGTGTACACCTGTAGTCCCAGCTACCCAGGTGGCTGAGGTGGGAGGATTGCTTGAGCCCAGGAGGTGGAGGGTGCAGTGAGCTATGATTGCACCACTGCACTCCAGCCTGAGCAACAGAGAAGACTCTGTCTTAGAAAAAAAAAAAAAAAATGATATTAGTATAGTACTTCCTGCTCAGGCTTCCTTTCTTTCGGGTCCTTATTTGATTTTTAAAAATTTTAATAATGACTTTCATAAACTTCAGAGAGTCTCCCAGCTGGTGCAGAGACCTCAAGCTGAAGTTCAGGTCATAGAAGGCACCAGGCTCCCCTGGCTGACCACTGCTCTCTGTGCTGGGGGACTTCCAAGGCCAGGGAGCTAGGGAGGAGGAGGGGGCTCTGCGGAATACGTGGGGCTGTAAGGATGGAAGGTGCTAAGGCAATCGTCCTCAGGAGCTATCTAGCTTCATTCGTTAAAACCACCATGAAAAACAAAATGTTTCATAGCTGAACATAGCAGAAATGCCTAACGCCACCAGAAGAGAATGAGTTTAATCTGAGGAAATGTGAGGCTAATGTAATGTGTTCGAGCCCAAACTTAGATGTCACCCAGAGTGACAGAACTCCAGAGAGCATCTGTACCCGCTGCCCACGATGGAGAAGGGAGAGGAGTGTGGGGACATGGGGTTTCCCACATGAAATTCCAGCCCCAGCCTGCTAGAGTTCAGCCATTCAGGGCAAGGAGTCTGAAACTATTCTGTTGAGAGTATGAAATCATAGCAGGAAAGAAAGGGAAGGTGGTAAGAAGGGAAGGGGGTGAGGACCCCAGTGAAGGAAAGGGCCAGCGGCTGGGGAGGGGAGGCTCCAAGCCATTCTTTTGCACATTTCTTTTGCATATCTCTGCATAGTGTAGGTAAGGCAGGTCAGAATTCATCATCTGCAGTGAATTCTCCATCAAACCAACACAAACAAGACTCCCTCCTGTGGGTTCCTGGAGTCTAAGGTAATGCACTCAAACCAGTTAAACGGAAATCAAAACTGTTCTGGAAGCCACGGCTTCTCTGACTTTGAGAGCTCTGACAAAAACGACCTTAGGCAGGAGAGAGATCGAACCATCAGTCTCCCTTCTGGAGTTGTCTGGAGCTAAGATATTTGAGGACAATTGCTGTTTTGGGGTTCAACTCCTCCTAAGGTAGATATTCCAGGAGCTTCAGGGCCAGCATTTCATCAAACACCTGTACTTCTCCCAAGGTCCCTGATAATGCTCCGGTCGACCTTTCCTGAGGGTGTCTCAGAGCAGTTTTCCCAGACGGGAAAGTCTGGGAAGTCAGCAGGGACTTCTCTGGCAGAATTCAGAACAGAATGACACAACCAGAGAACCTATGAAGGTTAAATCTGTTGAGCTGGAAGCCTCGCAGCTGCAGACAGATATGCTGGCAGGGCCACTAACTGGGAACCAGCTCTGGCTGATAAGGTGATTCCCCGGGAGCCCACATACCGTAAGCGTCACAGGACCCAGCACTGGGACCAGGATGGAGGCTATCAACCTCCATAATTAGCTCACCAGACACAAGGGGTACCTGTACACACCAACCCTGCACCCAGTTCCCAATTTCGGGTCACACACAATGGAGACATTACTTTTTGTAGGAGTTTATCTGGCAAAAAAAATTACTGGAACATTCCGTCAGTTTGCCTAGAGTCATCTCATCTAACGGGTGACTTTGAATTCTATACCTTGTCTATTTTATCTCTCCTCCGCTCAATATACTAACATAAAATGCTATAGAATGCATAATTTTCAATTAAAATAAATATTAATTTTGCAACAGGATTACTTCATTTTAATTTACAGAACTCAGAGTGAACAGCTTCGAGTACAGAATCATGGAAATCTAGAATCGAGAGGATAAGAGAAGTGGGTGTTAACAACTGCACAGCTGTAGATTTTGTATCCATGGCATCCAATAAATTCACACAGAGGAAATGTCCTACTTCAGAGATCTAAAATGTTATCCTTTGACTCCCAGAAGCATAAAAATGCAATTGGACTGAAAAAACAATTTTAGGTACTTACTGATTCCTTGAAAGAGCTCTTCGATATTAATAGCATTTTTTGCACTTGTCTCAACCACGATGGCACCTATGGATTCAGCGTATTCCTTAGCATCCTTCAGGGGAACCTCCCTGGAAAAGAGGTCAAAGACAGACAGGAAATGAATGCTCGTCTGTAAAATACAAATCACCCAAAAGACCAAACAGCTTGTGTGGCAACAGCTCCTTTATCTTCTTGTAGAATAGTAACTCAATCACTTAGCAAGAATGGATGCCTAGTATTAGTGAGACTTTTTAAAGTTTAAAACCCAGTCTCTGGTATCCATGAAGAGAAGATATGCATATATAAAACAGTGTTCCTGCTCCCACAGAAGAATTCCAGAACAGCAAGGAAAACCATGATGCATATGGCAGTACACATTTCAACTTTCAGAGCTACGGCTCATTTCAACTTTTTTCCCATTACGTGACTCAATATTAAAAAACACCAACACCATTGTTAGTACGTTTGTGCACACATGCTTTTGTGAAACTTTTTATATATTTACAAATCAGAGAAAATATGCAATGTGCTGTGACAGTTTGGAAACAAGCATGGTTTTACCCACCATGGCTACAATACAGGATGGCGTATCTGGACCTTCATCTGTAAAAGGATGTTCTCACAAAGGTTTTAGGGCATGAACTCTATTTAAATGAACAATTAAAAAAAAAATCTCACCCTGAACACACCCGATTTTGTCTGATCTTGGAAGCTAGGCAGGGTCAGGCCTGGCTAGTACTTGGATGGGGTCCACGGCCATACCAGCCTAAAAAAATCTATTGACCTCTTTGCAATGTGAAAATGCTGTGGTGGATTCAAAGATAAAAAAGACGCAGTTCCTATTCTCCAACAGCTGCTGCATGCCAGTCCCTCCCCCAGGGGCCAGGGAAACCACAGGTCCTGCCTTCTGGCACCTGTGCTTTCGAGCATGGACAAACAGGGTTCATCTGGGGGCACTCTAATCCACAACACTACGACATAAAGCGCTTCAGGAGCAGAGGGGGAGAAAGTGATGTGTTCTGTTCAATGAACCCCAGAAAGACGCCCAGAGGTGGTCACCTTAAGTGTGGCCATGAAGGCTAGGCAAATGCAGGTAAGAATCTGGGATGGGACAGCCTGAGCAGAGGCCCAGAGGCAGGAAAGTGCACACATTCCTGAAGATTATTAAAAGTTGATTCTGCACCCAGCACTGCTGGGGCTGTTATGGTGGATTTGCAAATGAATGACATGGGCCCAAATGGAGAGAATGTCAGAGTGGTTGGAGCTGAGAGAGGGAGGCACACCATGACTGTCTACACCCAGAGGCCACTGAAGGACAGGAAGTGACAGGGTCAGCTCCACAGTCTAGGAAAAAATGGTGCACAGAATGGATGGAGGTGAGGAGAAGAATCTGGAAGCTCCTCTAATATTGCAGGCAAGAGGTAACACAATCCTCAACCAGAAGAATTGCTACTGGAAAAGAGAAGAAGGCAGACACAAAATCAAAAGAGGGACAGGGAGTGATGGGACAGCGCCTACCTCCCTGCCCCTTCCTCCACCCACCTCAGAGCCTGTAAATGGCTTCAAGAGGTTTAAAGTTACCAGGGAAATTCTACTCTGGCATTCAAATTCCCATGGGACTCAAATCACATGCAGGGAGGACCCTTCAGTCCTAGCTGGAAGAGCGACTAACTAGGGTCTACCATGTTAAAGACGATGGCCCCAGCCTCTCAGCCAAAGGAAATATGTCCCTGGAACCAAGTCAGTGGGTACCTGTGCTTCCAAACTGCAGGGAAAAGTACACCCCGACATTCACTCTCTCGTTTGTAACAGACAAGACCCACGCCTGTCACAGGGATTATGCTTGAGTTTTTCTGGCAGCAGAACGTTTATATTTGAAAGATTCCAGAAAAGTGCTTTTCTCTGTGCCGTTTGGCATGATATCTGTTTTTTACTTCCTCCTGAAGTCTTTTTTTGTTTGTTTGCTTTTCAAAGACAGTGTCTTGCTCTGTTGCCCAGGCTGGAGTGCAGTGGCACGATCTCGGCTCACTGCAACCTCTGCCTCCCGGGTTCAAGCAATTCTCGTGCCTCAGTCTCCCGAGTAGCTAGGATTATAGGTGTGTGCCACCACGCTTGGCTGATTTTTGTATTTTTTGGTAAAGACAGGTTTCACCACGTTGCCCAGTCTGGTCTTGAACCCTTGGCCTCAAGTAATCCACCTGCCTCAGCCTCCCAAAGTGCTGGGATTACAGGCGTGCGCCACTGCGCCCAGCCTCTTCCTGAAGTCTTTATCAAAGCACAGATAAAGGGTGGGGCTCATCTCTGCCCACAATGGGGTGCAGGAGAAGATGTCACCTGCTATCCTACTGGGGGTATGGTGAGGAGCACCTGGCAAGCAAGGATGTCTCTGGGCCCGCAGGTGAGAGGAAATCACATTCACAGGTGAAGTGCTTCCTCAACCCCTCTAATCAAGCCAACTGCAGGACAAGGAGGAGCGGCACAGGTTCACCAGGCTTACAAGAGAACAGGTATCATGTGCCATAGCCCAACATCTCCATCCTGAGGATGACCACGGCCAAGAGGCTCATTCCTTCACAGTTTAAAACATAGGTCTGGAGACGGGAAGATAAGAAAAGCATACCCTCAGACTCCTTCCATGGCTAGAGGTGGGTCTCATTAAATCTTTGGGCTGCAGAAGTGACATGCCTAATGAGAGGTGAGACAGGGCGTAACCCAACCCCGTGACTCTGTCCACCTCACTCCCACTGGGCCCCAATGGCACAAGCACCCACCGGCACCACATGCCAGAGGCCGTTATTTCCATCTTGACAGACACATGTGAGGCTCAAAATGTTTCAAACTGTCATATGCACTGGAGTTGGGGTGGAGCGGGGCAGAAGCCCACTCTGTACTTCTAAAGAACAGGCGCTTACAGGAAGAATCCGGCCAGTGAAAGTCCCTCTAATGTGAACTAAGATTGGAAGGAACAACCACTCTTGAGTCTGTCAAAACATGTTCCCATTACTGTGGCATAATAAAAAATACAGACTCAGTCTTTGCCCTGGTTCCTGGCACAGTTCTCCCCAGACCCTCAAAGTTTCCTGCATATGATAGGAGTGTCTTCTGGTATTCTTGAAGAGCCCCTTCAACCATGCCTGAGTTTGATAGGGTATGGCCCTAGACCATCCTGTGGCCTCTTCAGCATGAGCCTGGTTGCTGGAGGAATCAACCACAAGGTTAAGATGGTTGAACCTTTCAGCCCCAACCCCAGCCTCTCAGGCTGGAAATTTAATCAATCATGACTAAGTAATGAAGCCTCAATACAAACTATTGAACACAAGGCTTGAGAGGGTCCGGGCTGCTGAGCACACTGGTTTGCTGGGAGTGGTACCCCAGAGAGGCTGGAAGCTCCTTGTCCCACTCTCGCCCTTTGCCCTCCCTGTCTCTTCCATTTAGCTACTCCTGTGTTGTGTCCATAACAACAGAACTGTATGTCAAATTAATATTATAGGAGGCCTTTGCTTGGGACTAAGCTCCTGCATTAGGCCCCAAGAGACCAGACTAAAAATAAACACAGTCACTCATGCTTAAGTTCCCCTTCACCAAACCCAAACTAAGTGGTTATCTGACCTTCTGAGAAGTCACAAGAGGTAACAGCCAATTTCCCAAATAGGCCAGCTGAAATCTTCAGTAGCCATGGAATGAAATTCCCTTGGCTTTAATCCTTACATAAAATGTTAACTAATCTGGTATTTTTCTATCGTTCTGTTTCCCTGTCCTTCCCTCTGCCTGTCCTCCGAGAAAAGTATCTTTGAAATGACTAGCAGGCTAAGTGTTCCTGGCTCTTGCTTTCTTCAGCTCTTCTCTGTCTATAAAGCCAATCCCCTCTGCCCAGCTCATGGGAACACTTATTCTATGTTATGGAATGATTCGTTGTCAATTCTAGAATCATGAATAAAGCCAATTGAGATCTTTAAACTGAATTAGGGCCATGCACCGTGGCTCATGCCTGTAATCCCAGTACTTTGGGCAGTCAAGGCGGGAGCATCGCTGCAGACCAGGAGTTCACGACCAGCCTCAGCAGCATAGCAAGGCCCCATCTCTACAAAAAAGGAAAAATTAGCCAGGTGTGATGGTGTGTGCTTGTGGACTCAGCTACTCAGGAGCTACTGGAAGACTGCTTGAGCCTGGCAAGTGTGGGGCTGCAGTGAACTATGATTGTACCACTGTACTCTAGCGTGGGTGACAGAACGAGATACTGTCTCTAAAGAATATTTAAAAATAAATTTGTGGTCATTCCTTCCTTTGACAGTACAGTGCTTTCCTGAGTTCTGTGAGTCCATTCTAGTGAAGTACTGAATTTGAGGGGAGGTCATAGGAGACCCCAAATTTGTAGTCTGTTACACAGAAGTGCAGGTAAGTTGGGGATACTGGAAACTTGCAGCTTTAGTCTGAAATGGGAGGCAGTCTTGCAGGACAGAGCTCTTAACTCGCAGGGTCTGTGCTGACTGCAGATAGAGTCTGAATTGAACTGAATCGTAGGACATCCAGTTAGTGTCAGAAAAATTGCTGTCGGAACAAACGGTGTGCCTACAATCTGCGAGGAGAGTTTTGCGAAGGTGAGAATTCACTTCCCAGAATGCCTTGCAAACACATAAAACCAGGAACATTTGAGAACTCCAGGTGCACTTCAGGAGAGGCCACTGCACAGCCCCATGAGGCAGAAAGGCGCCACCACAGGCCTCCCATCATTACGACGATGGGAGGGTATGGCATCTAGTGACTTTTGTTCATTTTTTTTTTCAACAAGTGTATAGTGTCTACTATAGGCTGGGCATTGTGCTAGGTGCTGGAACAGGTAAACTGAAACGAGTTCACCCAAGCCAAGGTATAAACACACAGAGTTAGTTTTGACGGTGAAGACTAGTTTTAGACTTTCTAGACCAACCTACATGCAGAAATCACTGAGAATTACCGCGACGGCGGGAAGTGTGGGTGCAGATTCCCCCAGGCCAGCCCTGTCCCCTGGCTGCTCCTTCACAGACGTTCCCGGAGCTGATCACAGTCTGCGTGGCCCACCAATGCCAGCATTACTCAGGGTTTCCTCCCT